GGGGGCAGAGCTGGGGCCCGCCGCTCCGAGGACACGGCAGTCAGCGGCACATCGCCGGGCAGAAGTGCTGCTGTCCCACCTGGTGGGCAGCAGCAGCCCAGGCGGCTCCTTGCTGGGCAGCCAGGCTCGCGCAGGTTGAATAGCCTGAGACGTGCCTGAGTAGGAGACGCTGCCTGACCCACGTTACGCGCTGCAGAGCAGTGAGCGAGCCTTAGGGGCTCTGAGCTCTGGAGAGAAAGCCTGTGAGAGCCTTGAGGGGATCACAGAATCACAGAATGGTTGAGGTTGGACCTCTGGAGATCATCTAGTCCAACCTCCCTGCTCAAGTAGGGTCCTCTAGAGCATATTTCCCAGGATCTCTTCCTGGTGCACGTAGCCGGCGGCCTTGCAACGCGACGGGCTGCTCTCCCCCGCTCCCCGTCCCCACGCTCCGCCCCCCCCTGCCGCCTCCAGCCCCGGGAGGAGAGACTCAGGGATGGTGGAAGGGGACGCGGGGGGCGGCTGGGCGCAACTCAGCCCTCGAGGCACGGCCGCAGGAGGTGACGGCGGCAAAGGTGGGGAAGAGGGAAGGTCCCTCCCGGCAGCCCAGCTGCAGAGGGGTGTGGGGGGGCAGAGCCCTGGCCCTGGTATCCCAGGCCGGGGACCAGGGACGGAGGTGACTGGTGATGTAATCCCTGCCCAGGGCCAGTCCTGAGGACTGTCCTCGATGTCACAGGGCCACCTGCTGGAGAGAGGCCTTGAGGCCCAGACCCCCAGCCCAGGACAGCCCAGCAGGGTTTAGCCACGCTACGGGCTGGCCCCGCACTGGGGTCTTCGCTGTCTCTTCAGTAGGGACCCCACAGCCTATCTGTACTGATGGCAGTAGCACCCAGATCCTGACCTGTCCCTCAAATGCCAACCCCCGGCCCTCATCCCAACCCACCACCCTCCCAGAGCTCCCACTCCCTGCCACGGACGTGTGAACCCTCCAACTCCTCCCTGGCCAGAGCAATCCTAAATCTCAGCCCTCATGGGATGCTGAGCCCCAGGTTCCCACGCTGCATCCCCCCATCACTGGGCCAAAGGAGCCGTAGCCAAGAGCCCGACGTGCTGACTGGGGGGAAGGCTGAGGAGGGATGTGGCACATGTGTGCCCTGGGGACCTAGTAGGGCATGGCGATCCCACAGCACCTGCAAACCTGCTCTGGGCTCAGCTCCCTGCGGCTGGGGGCCGTGCTCTAGTGCCAGCCTGGACCCCCCCTCCCCTTACAGGGAACTCCAAAACCCTCCACAGCAGGCAGCCAAATTGCTCAACGGTCTGGAGCAGCTTCAGTGCGAGGGAAAACTGCGCTGGGGGGAGCCTGCAGCCTAGAGGAG